CCACTAGATCGAGAAGCAACATCTTGATAGATGGAGAAAAGATTGAAATTGTTTTCATCACAGTTTTGTCTTACCTGGAGCCATAATCAACACCCTTGGAACCAGCAGTCAGGAGATGTAGTGCACTGGGCACATCAGGTGCTAGGGATCTCTCTAAATTACGGAAGAACAAGGATGTCACTTTGAAGACTACGGTGCACCTCATACAAGCCAGGATCTCTTCAGTCACTTGCTGTGCATCTGGGAGTTGGACAAAGAGTAAGGATGACAGAAGCAGCATTGATGCCTTTGTGATGTGGTGTAGGGAGAGAAAGCTGAACATCCCATGGACTGCCAACAGAACAAACAGGTGGGTCCTGGGGAAGGTGCAGCCAGGGGGGCACTGTCAGCTGTTGTGGGTCTGTTACTAGAAGAATGGTAAGGGACATCATGCTTGGAAAGGCAGAGGACCAGTGAAAGAGAGGAAGACCTTCGGCCGGGGATTTACACAGTGATGCTGCAGTGGGGTCAAGTGTGTCAGGGATTGTGAGGACGGACAGGATAGGGCAGGGTTTGGATGTGTTGTTAATGATATTTGCTATAAGTTGTACTCAACTTGACAGCTCCTAACAACAATACAACCTCATTCTATGTTTTACCCATGGAAACCTTCAGCATTGCAATTTAAGGCTTGAATCTTTCCTTCATTTCTTCTTGCTCTTTTTCTTTAGGTCTTCTGACTTCAGGTCTTTGCGTGTTTCGTTTGTAATACTTCTTCTGCCTGATCTTTGAACTCTTCTGCTAAGCTATTTTTTTGCCATAATTTCACCCCTTCTGTTTACTCTGTGTTCAAGAGTCAATTTCAGACTCTCGTCTGATGCCTGCTTTGATCTTTTCTTTCTTTATTTCTTTCCTGCCATGTTAATAATCTTTTGTTTTCTTCATTTACAATGCCCTTTCGCAACTTGTCTTTGGTCATTAGTGCTCAACATATCAAATCTGTTCTTGAAATAATCTCTAAGCACAGGTGTATATACTCACAATTATACTTTGGTTCTCATGGACTTGTTTTCATGTTCTTCAGCTTCAACTTGACCTCTCATATGAGAGGTCTGTTCTGATGTGGGCCTGGGCCTTGTTCTGACTGATGAGATTGAGCTTCTCTGTTTTCTCTTTCCAGAGGTGTAGCCGAAATGAGCCCATCCATCTGGCAAGGTCCATGCGTATAAGTTATAGTGTATGTTGTTGAAAAAAGGCATATCTAATGACTAGATCGTAAATCTTTCAAAATTCTGTTGATGCATGTTCTGGCATTTCCATCACCAAGGCAAGCCATATTTTCTGCTAATCCTTTTTTTTCTTCACTTTTCTATTTCTAATCACCATGGATTACTAATGCATCTTCCTTGCATGTTTGATCAGTTTCATGATACAGAAGTTGGTTAATATCTTCAGTTTCCTCATCTTTGGTGTAACTGGTTGGTGTGTAATTGGGAGCACCCGTCTATCAATATTAACTGGGCTTCCTTTTAAGAATGTCGAGGTTATTCTGTCGTGAAGAGCACTGTATTTCAGGCTAGATCTTCAGATTGATGATGAATGTGATACATTGTCGACTTATCATATCTATTCCTGGAGGGAATATAGCTGTGAATTCCCAACTAATTTATTATTTAAAAACGAAAAAAGCCCCTTGCTGCTGCCCAGTTGTTTTCAACTCATGAGAATCCTCCATCAGGTTTCTGAGGCTGTACACCTTCACAGAAGGAGACTACCCGTCTTTCCCACACAGCAGCTGATGGATTCAAGCGTCTCACCTTTCAGTTAACGTGCAAAGACCCACACCATCCGTTTATTACAGGCCACCATTAATATCATTGTTTGAAATTACTATTAAGTGATACAGTCCCGTCTCCTTGGCTAAAGTCCTATCTCCAGCCTCGGCTTCTCCACCTGAGGCCAGACACGTGTATGTGGCAACTGGACATCTCAGCTCAGATCCCAAACCCAGAGTAGCCAACACTGAGCACTTGCACATGCCTGCCCCACAGATTTGCCCAGCTCAGAGCAGAGGAAATCCATCCCTTCCCTGTGCTGAACCTCTTAGAGTTCTTCCTAGCTCTCTTTTTCTCTCTCATCTCCCTATTACTCAAGGGAATAATCACATTGGCTCTGCCTCTGGTGCTTCTCCAGAACTTGGCCACGGTCTGTGTGTTCTCTGTCCCCACTGCCCCCCAGGGCTGCCATCCCCAACAGCCCCCCAGGGCTGCATCATCTCTCACGTGAGCTATGACAGCCCCCTAACTGATCCCGCTGCTAGCTCCCTTGTCTCCCATCAACCTGTCCTCCTCTCAGCACCCAGGTCAAGTAAAGCCCATCTGCTCGAAACCCTCCCGCGTCCCAGCATTTTCCGCAGAATGGCCATCTTACAGTGGCCCCTAGGTCACTGCCTGAGCCGAGCCTCCTCTAATGGGTAATTCCCAGCTCCCACCCCACCTGCACGCTGCTGTTATGTGACTACACCACGCACCTCCCACCTGCTGGCACATCCTGGAAGGCGCCAGGTACACTGTGAGGCCCGCCCTGCCAGTCCTCCCTGCTCTCCCACTCTCCCTGCCTCTGCTCTGCTTCTCTTGTTTTTTCGCATCATTTTGTACCGCTGAACGTTCTCTGTTGTTCATTTATCATGCCTGTGGCTTTTACAGTCGCATACCACTCCACCGAGTGGACGGACTGTCATTTGTTTTACAGATGTGCTTTTAGCGTGCCACTTCCCATACAGGGCGACTTCAGTAACTAGCTGCCCCTTTGCAATCGCCCCCCCCTTAAACCGAGGTGCAGTTGTTTAGCAATAGCTGTTACACAAGCAGGAACAAACCAAAATGAAACCGCCCCAAACTGCCCATTCTTTTGCATAAGAATATTTGTTATTCTGTGTACATCTAGGCCAACCCTCATTATTTATGAATTCCATACTTGCAAAATGACCTACTTTGCTGAAGTTTACTCAGAACCTCAAAATCAACCCTCCTGGCGCCTCTGTGGTCCTTTGGGGATGTGTGCAGAGGTGTGAACTGAGGTGTGTACAGTCGCCTGACATGCATGTTCCTGGGAGGTCACGCAGGGCGACACTTTGCCTTGTGGACAGGCCCTCAGGTTGGAAGGAAGTGTCCCTTCTGCATCCTCATGCGTTTGTTGTGGTTTCTCCCCTCAGTGTTTTGCGTTTTATTGGTGATTTTGCTGTTTGAAATGGTCCCTGAGCATACTGCTGAAGAGCTGTCTCGAATTGCTGTGTACGGGGAGATATTGCCTCACAGAGGAGATAGTGCGGGTTGTGGATGAGCTTCCCCCAATCGAGAGTCACAGAGCTGGTGACTGGGCACTCCCTGTTAACGCACCAGCAGTGTGCATCATGCACGCGTCTTTAAGCAGAAAATAAAAATACACAAATAAATATAAGATGAGGCTGTGGCCAGCACTCACGGGATCCTACCCTTACATTTCCCATAGGAGCAATGATTCTGTATTTCCTTGTCAGTTTGCAGCAGCTTTGGAGAACATAATGACAGCAGATGACGTGAACCAACCGTGTGTGTGTGTGTGTGTGTGTGTACCATCAAATCGGATCTGACTGGTACAGGAAGAGATTGCCCCTCCTCCTTCAGCAGAGCATCTGGTGGATTCAAACCGCATACCTCTGCGATTGCAGTGCAGCGTCTTGCCATCAGGCCACCAAAGCTCCCTATCTGGCTTGTGTTCTTTTTTAATGACTTTTTTCTTTTACTTTAGTTTCAAACCTACCGAGACGTGTTCATGTACAGTCAGTCACCCCCCATCTACCCTCCATCCATGTTCACCGGTAGTTAACATTTTGCTCTCACCGCTTTATCCCAATCTCTTTCATGTATCGACACAGGCAGGCACAGCTGCTTGTCACCTGTTGAATATTTCATTGTCTGCAATTTCACATTGTCAGTAGTCATTTGAATAAAAAAAATCTACTATCCAGTCGTTTTTCATATTGAGGACGATGATGTATTTGATGATTCTGGAAGAAACACATGTCGAGATGTGAGATGAGAGGAACATTTGCTGCGATTGTTACAATTCTCTGTCAGCTTGGCCGAGCCCGGCTTCTCGGTGGTTTTGCACTTATATAAGTTGGTGGTTATAGAATGACGTAATTAGGAAGTTACATAATGATATTATTTGGTAGTTATGGAATGGGGTCGTTGTCATACTATCTCACAAAATGCTGAGTTTTGCATAACAGTCTGGTTTCTGTAGCCTCACCATGCCTGCAAGTGAGTAGGATGTGTATGTGTATATATTGAAACCATTTGATATTTAAGTTACAGACATCATTCCACTTTACCCATGAGCAATGTGGTATGATCTCCTGGGGCATTTATTTTGTAAAACTACAGTAGTTTTTGTTGTTGTTATGTGCCGTCGAGTTGTTATGTGCTTGCGACTCATAGCGACCCTATGTACAACAGCTCTGAACCCTGCTCTATCTTAAGCCAGTGTCTTTGTTCCTGACACACCTCCTCCCATTATCCCAGTCACTGAGTCAACCCATCTCATCCAGGGTCTTCCTCTCTTGAGCTGTCCCTGCACCCTCCCAAGCATGATGTCCCTTTCCAAGAATGAGTTTCTCTTAGCAACATGTCCAAAGTATGTCAGACAGAGCTTCGGAATCCTTGCCTCCAAGGAGCAGCCTGGTTTCACCCTCTTTAGGATGAACCTACAGTACAATGATCAAGTTTAAGGTCTTTTGCATTAATAACCCATAGACCACATTCATATTTCTCCGGTTTGTCATCACAGTACTTTTCTCTCGCGATGTTTTTTGCAATCCGAGATCCAGCACAGGAACACACAGGCTTTCAGCTGCCAGTCTCCAGTCTGGATTTCTTGGCCTTGATGTTTTTTGAGAGTGCAGTCCGCAGTTTCACAGAATGTTCCTCAGCTTGGGTCTCCTCGTCCTTGAGCCGTGCCCTCCTGTTTTCTGCCCCTAGGACCTGGAAGCCGACGAGAGAGACCTCTCTCAGCGATGCGAAAAGCCGTGAGCGAGGCCGAGGACCGGGAGGAGGACGCCTCGGAGGTGCTCAGAGCCATCCAGGTGGAGAACGAGGACCTGCAGAGAGCACTCCTCCGCAGACGGGCGGAGACTCCTGGGAGCCAGCCGCAGGTGAGTTCACAGTGGACGGAGAGGAGCCGAGCTCGGGGAGCCCACTCACGCCAGCCCGCTGCAAAGGCTCATGGTGGTGGTGGTATTAGGACCCTTAGCCACCCTCAGAACAACAGATCTGAACCCAGTCCTGTCCTGTGCCATCCTCACACTTCCTGACACCCAGGAGCCCACTGAAGCAGTCACCGTGTCAATCCACCTGGTTGAGGGTCTGCCTCTTCTTTGACTTGAGATTCTCACCCTTGTCTGTACCTTCATCTGTCAGAACGGAAATGAAGTGAGTGACTTTTTCCGAGCTCCTCCCGTGTGATTATGTCATTCCAGGATGCGGAGAACCTACCAGCAAAACCGTGGGCTGGTCTGCTGAAGGACAAGGGAGAGACGTTGTCCCTCGAGGTCAGTGAAAGGCTGAGATGAACAGCAAAGCCCCACACACAACACACAGTGTCCCCTGGGCGCCCCTTCACTCGGCCCACACGGGTCCTCTCTGTGCCCTGGGAGTGAGCAGGACCATACCCTTCTGCCCATGTCACAGATGAGATAAGGTGTGAAGAGTGTGGGCGATGTAGAGGCGGTGATGTCTGACCTCCACTAAATCCAAAAGAGGAAACAGTCCCCATCAACAATTCCCACAGCACAAAATTGATTTCTTTGAGGTCAGACATGGCCACCACACTCCCCAAATCTCAGTCTGCCACTTCTGATACCAACCGTCCATTCCAGGGTTTCTCACAGCTCTACTTTTAGGTCTGATTGCCCGCTGTAGTGGCCACAGAGAACTCACAGAACCATACTTACATATATAGGGCTTCTCAGGGAAGTAAGCAGGTCGTGATTCAGGCTGGCATCAGGGTACAGTTCTTCAGTCAGGACAGCTTCTCAGATGTGCTCACAGGACCTTTGACATTCAGCTTTACAGCTTCAGGTCAATGTTAACGAAGTTCTCCTAATTCTACAAATTAAGGCCTCTTTGCTCCACACCACTTGGGCAGAGGCCCCAGGCTCTGGCTCCATAGATTGCAGTCCAGGTCCGTCTTCTGGTCTTCCACTCCCGCTCTTCCATCTTGCCCATAAGGCTCTGCGACCCCCAAAGGCCCCAGCAACATTCTCTGTCTTATCTTTCTTGCTAGTATCAAGATTCCCATATTCTGCTGCTAAACCTGCTCAGATTTAAATCTGGCAAGATGACAGATCAACCAGTCCTTTTATCTGTAGCCTCCATATGCTAAGTGCATATTCCCACTCAGCCATGTGGCAAAAGTGAATGACCTAGGAAAGGCATTTGAACATGACCCTCTTGCTCTGCATGGCACCTGGAGTAACGGCCCAAGGAAGGGTAAGAGTGGAAACGAAGCTTCACATCCAGTCCTATTGATCCAAATCCCTTTTTAAAGTTGTGTTTACTGATAAAAGGTAACTACAGGTGTTAGTATCCTGAACAAATAAATCATGTCTAAATCACACTGGATCATTTTGGCCTATCTTAGCCAAGATGGCCCCAGTAGATGAGGTTGGATGATGGAAACTCCAAGGAATGTCTTTGTCAGGCTTGGACTATGAGGTGTCTAAGAGAGACACCTCTGACCTTAGGTAGTTTGTGGACAACAAGCAAAGAAAGCATAAATTAAGGGGACTTTGGAGAGGGACGACAAAGTGGCCAGTGGGCAGAAAGTGAGGAGAAAGGAGAGGGGTCAGGGAAGAGAGAGTAGGGGGAGAAGAGAGAGCAGAGGGGAAGGAAGGAGAGAGTGGGGGTGAAGAAAGAGGTTGGGAGGGAAAGTGGGAGAAGGAAAAAGTGGGGAGGGAAAAGGTGGGGCAAAGGGAAGGAGTGTCCCCGTAGAAGCGGAGTGGTGGCCTGGGCAGCACCCTAAAGCCCTCTGGTGGTTTCCTTTCTTGATTGTCCTTGACTCACTCCTCATTTCCTGGCCACCTTCCCCCAGCCATTGTTCTGGCGGCTGTGGGCACTGCGCGCCCAGGAGTCCAAGGTTTCCCCATGATCTGCCCTGCAAGCCCTCTGAGCTCTTGACAGCTGATAGAACAGGGCGCACCTCTAGCTTCGATAAGAAATGAGAAAGAAGGGGAGGTTTGGAGGATTTGAAAAAGGAAGGGCATGCTGGGATTACTGAGATTCTGGAGGGACTCGGCCGCTTTGTGACAAAGAACAGGGTTCATCTGAGATAGGGGAATGGTTTCATAAGAGAAATTTGTCAGTAGCTCGTGGAGGCCAGTTGCCACCTCTGTCCTCCTGTTTTATGGCGGTGTCTAGGCGGTTCTTGGCCGGAGCAGGCCAAGTCGACATGGTCACTCAGTCTGATTTCCCACAGTGGGCTGAGACCCCGAAGTGGACGTACCCTAGAACAGGGCTCCACTGTAGATTGTGGCAGGAGCGTTGTCTGGGCGTCTGTTTAATAAGCTTGTCCTTTTCCAGCTGCCTCCTGAACCCCCAGTGACCAGCACACAGGAGCCGGGCCCAGAGCCATCCGGAGCAGCAGGGGGCGCCAGAGCTGTCACCGACCCCACAGACAGGCTGGGCCTCTGGGGCAGCAGGTACCAGTCAGGGCTGAGTCCAAAGCAGAGCACTCATGGCAGTGCAGCCCCGGGATCTTCCGGACTGCCCGTTGCTTTGCATTCCCTGTGTATCTCCAGACTGCAGACCATCCCCTCTGTCCCTGTAGCCAGCACCCTGCCTCACCTCTCCAGCCCTAAAGCATACCTGTCATCAGTTCTCTCAGGAGGATGGCTCTTGCTTGCTCAGCCTAGTCTGAACTTGTCTCAAAGCAGCACCTCACACAGCAGCAGGAAGAGGGCTTGCTCCCAGCTGGCCTGGTGGGGCGGGGGCGGGAAGACAGCAGCCACATGGGTCTCATTATTTGTGCTAAGAGTTTGTCCACAGGTAGCACTGTGCCCACCTATACATAAATGCCTACTGATGCTATTGTCAGAATAAAGGCTTCTTCTGATCTTCAGGGAAAACCAGTACTTCTGAAAGACTGACTAACCTTTTTGCTCCCGCTGTTCAAGCATGTCATGGCTACAGGCTGCTCTCTTGGGCTACCAGGCAGAGCTGTGCACACAGTAGACTGTGCTCAGTGACTGACTGAGGGCCACGAGGGGCTAGAACCCACCTAAACACAGAATTATGTGGCCGGGAAGAGTGGAAACCCATGCCCCACACACCCCCGAGCCCCCAGGCTCAGAGGAGTTCTTTTCTGTGATTTGCAAAACTTCTGAATTGGCTAAAAGCAGCCCTCCTAACGCCACCCCCACACCCCAGACCACAGAGCAGAAACCGTAGCTGCAGACCACCATGGCTGTAAATGAGAACCATCTATTTCCCCTGAATTGGGATGGACTGGGCCATAAGTGTATTTGTGTATGTGAGTGAGGTTTTATTTATTAACTCTGCTGCTGTGTTCTTCCAGGATGCTCTGGGCATCAGGGACTGGGGACACACCGCCTCAGACAATGCATATGGGGTCCATTCATGCACCTCCACTGGCTATGGAGAGAGAGGAGACCTATAGAGAGAGGCAGATCCATAGACTGGGCCTTGGCAAGCCTCTTCTGTTAAAGAACAGGCAGCCAGTACTTTATTATTGTTGTGTTGTTAGTTGCTCCCGAGTTGATCCCTGGCTCTTGTACGGCACCCCGTGTGACACAGAACAAAATGCTGCCCAGCCCTGCACCATCCCCATGATCCCTTGTGGATCAGACATTTGTGAGCCGCTGGATTTTCATGGGCTGATTTTTGGAAATCCATCGCCAGGCCTTTCTTCCTGGTCTCTCTTACTCTGACATTCTACTGATAACCTTTTCAGCACCATAGCATGCAAACCTCCACTGACAGATAGTGGACATGCCTGAGGGGCTTTGGCCACGAATAGAGCCTGGGTCTCCCACGTGAAAGGTGAGAGTTCTACCCTTGGACTGCCATGGCCAGTAAACAGGCTTTACTTTAAAAACAAACAAGCAAGCCACAACATTCCTAGTTTACAGGCCATATGGAAACAGGTCACGAGTCAGGTGGGACCTAGGCCTTTGTTTGCTGTCCCTTGCTCTAGCTTCCTGGGCTTTTTGTCCGCTGGCAGCCTTAACTCAAGCAGAGTTTTTCTTCCTTTGATTCCCTCACTGATTGTTCAGTTATTTACAAAGAGAGAAAAACAGTATGATGATGCCTTTGAACTGACTACAAGGTTCAGGGTTCCTTCTCAGTTTGTTACTTATTTCTCTTTGAGGTAGAAAGGTGCACGTGGCCGACTGGATAGGAATGCAGTTGTTTCTACCAGGGTGCTGAGAGGAGCCCTGGTGGCATGGTGAATTAAGCATTGGGGACTAAATGAAAGGTTGGTGGTTTAACTCCAGCAGCTGCTCCATGGGAGAAAGATGAGGCAGTCTGCTTCTCGGAAGATTTACAGCAAAAAAAAAAGAAAATGAAAAGAAAAGATTTATAGCCTAGGAAACCCTGGGGGCAGTTCTCTGTCTTGCAAGATCGCTGAGTGAGCATCAGATCCATGACAGAGGATGGCTTTGCTGAAGAAAAATCTCATTTCAGGCCACAGCAGAAGCTGCAGGAGGCCACGGGAAGTGATCCTGCCCAACTCAGCCAGGGAGTCTCAAAGGGCGAGGAGCAGAAGGTGAGAGCCTTGCCTTACAGGAATAAGGAAAAGCATTCAGCATCCTGCCTGAGATTGGAAGAGTCCTTGGGATAGTTGTTTCTATTCCACGGGGTGTGTGTGGGGTTGTGTGCTCTAACCTCAGTACCTTTCTACCTGAGTCTCTATCCTTCCTCCTGCCCTGCACGCAGATAAGTATGTGGTGGAGCAGAGGAAACAGAAAAAGGATGTGAGCTGGGAGTTTTACTAGAGAGAGTGAGCTGGCCACAGAGGCCCTGTGAAGAGCCCGTGAGCCTAAAGGAATGGTCCAGTGTGGCTGGTAATAAAAGAATGCGAGTTAGACCAACCTTAATGTTCCATTTGTTGTTGTTGTTGTTGTTATGTGCCGTCGAGTCGTTTGCAACTCATAGCGACCCTATGTACAACAGCCCTTGAGAACTTGTTTGGAGGTTCTAGCAGGGGAGCGCAGCTACTCGTATACTCTTGACCGAAGGACGGTCTTCCTTCTATCGGGGATGGTCGTCCTCTTCACCCGAGTGCGTAGCTTCGGGAGGGACGCACATGGATCGGTGAGGGAGGAAGGGGATACCTGCCTAGCCAGCCAGATCAGCCGAATCAACCCCGGCGATCAGTGGGGTGACAGATGTCGCAGCCAGATCGCCCTCACATCCTGTACAACAGCCCTAAACCCTGCTCTGTCCTGTGCCAATCGCACTGCCTCTGACACACCCATCCCGATTACCCCAGTCACTGAATCAATCCACCTCATAGAGGGCCTTCCTCTCCTGCGCTGTCCCTCCACCCTCCCAAGCATGATGTCCCTCTCCAAGGACCTCTCCCTCCTTGCAACATGCCCAAAGTATGTCAGACGAAGCCCCAGAATCCTTGCCTCCAAGGAGTAGCTTGGTTTAACCCTCTCCAGGATGAATCTGTTTGTTTTCCTAGCAGTCCATGGTACATTCAATACTCTTCTCCAGCACCACAGTCATTGTCCAACTCTCTGAGGCATAACAAGTGATTGCAAAGGCCATGGCCTGTATCAGGCGCACCTTAGTCTCCAAAGAGACACCGTTGCTCTTGAGTACTTTAGAGAGGTCATTAACAGCAGACTTTCCCATTGCAATAAGTTTTTTTATTTCTTGACTGCTGGTGCCTAGAGTGTCCATTTGTTATCAGAGTTAAATTCTTTTTAATGATAACATCGGATTCTGAAGCTTTGTCTGACATACTTTGGGCATGTTGCCGGGAGGGACCAGTCCTTGGAGAGGGACGTCACGCTTCAGAGTGTGGAGGGTCAACAAAAGAGAGGAAGACCCTCGATGAGATGGATCGATTCAGTGTTGGGGGTAATGGAAGTAGGTGTGTCAGAGACAGTGAGGTTGGCACAGGATAGAGCAGGGTTTAGGGCTCTTGTACATTGGGTCACAGTGAGTCGCAAGTGGCTCGACGGCACATAACAATGACATCCGGTACTGGCAAGGTTAGAGCAGAACTTTTATAATCATGCACTGTTGGTGAAAGTCGGTGTGACTTGGTAAAACTCTGTTGAGATGCAGAGTGGCTTCACTTAACAGGTGTCTTGGAAATTCTTATGTCTTCCAACCAGTGATCCCCTTCTCTGATCCTCCGAAAATAATGGATACAAAAAGTTAGAAGCACAAAGATAGCTAGTGGAAATAGTGTGAGGAAAAAAAGGGAGAAGGGAAAAAGACGCACAGCAGTAAAAGAAGTATTTCCTAATCATGGAATTAATCAGGAAAGCTCGGCGCTATGTGATGATGGATGCAATCACTGTGGAGATTTTGCAGGTAGAAAAATGTTACGGATGGATAGGTGGCTGTAGGTGCTGCGGATCCTCATAGAATTCAGTGTGGTGGCAGCAGCTGTGCAAAGACAAGGCAGCAGGCAGTTGGCTTGTGGGAACATCCACTGCAGAAGGTGTGGCAGGGGCGTGGCGTGTGACAGGGGGCATGGCATGTGACAGGGGCGTGGCGTGTGGCGAGGGCGTGGCGTGTGACAGGGGGCGTGGCATGTGACGGGGCATGGCGTGTGGCGGGGGCGTGGCATGTGACAGGGGGCGTGGCGTGTGACGGGGCGTGGCGTGTGGCGGGGGCTTGGCGTGTGGCAGGGCATGGAGCTGCCATTCTTTCTGCTGAAAAATCTCTGCCTCAGATCATCTTTCTCACTCCACCCTCTCCCCTGGGCTTTCTTGTGCGTATTTGATGCCGTAGCTACCATTTGGTGGGGGAAGAAGGGCAAAGCCACTTATAAGTCATGTGGTTTCAGAAAGGGCTAGAGATCCTGCTATGAGCCTGGGGGCCATCACGTGGAGGGGATATGGTCTTAGACAAGCCTCTTAAGCTCTCTGGTCCCTGAGTTTGGGCGCTCAAAGAAGACAAAGGACACACACTTCAGCCACTGAGGATTAACTAGACAAGGTGTAGGAAGGGCATCTAGCTCCTGACAGAGAAGAAGTGGGCATCAGTTGAAAGGTGGACACCTAAGAAAAGCCAGGCTTTGGTCCCCTCCGCGTGGAACAGTTGGTTTCTTAGCTGTCAAGGTTCTGGTTGAAGTCACTTTTAGGCACATCAAAGAGGCCCCGAGTTAGTGAAGACTTTACATTATGTTGATATATTGTTAGGTGACATTGAGTTGGGTCTGAGTCACGCTGTTAGGTGCCATATAGCAACTCATAGCAATGCTGTGAACAACAGTCCTGACCCCTGTCCTGTCCTGCACCATCCTCATCATCTCTGATGACGTCCTGAGCCCCCGGCTGCAGTGACTGTCAGTCCATCTCATTGAGGGTCGTCCTCTCTTTTGCTGACCTACACCTTTGCAAGCATGATGTCCCTTTCTAAGGAATAGCCCGGAGCAACCCTATTTACAACAGATCCGCCCTGGCCAACTCTGTACTCTGTCAGAGTCTCCTCCGGGCTTAATCTCATTTTTGCAGTCACTGTGTCGGTTCATCTTGTGCAGGGTCTTCCTCTCCTCCACTGACCCCCTGACTTTCCAGCATGGTGTCCTTTTCCGAGGACTGGCCTTTCCTAAGAACATGTCCAAAGTATGTGAGATGCAGTCTCACCACTCTTGGCTAGAAGCTAAATTCCACATCAGCTGACTTACCCAACAAAGAGAACGTATGGATTCTTGTAACTGGAAATGCTCAGCCTTTAACCCTTCCACTCTGTCTCGACAGTGTCAACTGCCCCCTTGGGCTCTGTTTCCACCACTAGACTCTTTCCCTTGTGGCCCCTAAAAGCTGGTGTGGTCCCATCCTTGCCCCCTCACATCTGTGCCAGGAGAAATGGAGTGGTTCTGCCCAGTTGAACCTGGAATGAGCATGCGGGCCTAGACCTAAGCTGGACCATGTACCCGTCACTCCGCCAGCCCATCCCTGTGACCCAGAGGACCCAGTGCACTGATTGACTGGTGCCAGTCAAGGTCCTCCTGGGGATGGGGAGGGTCAGGCTCCCTATGCCTATAGCTACAGACAAAAGGAGAGGAGGCCTCCCCAAAAGGAAATCAGGTGTTGGTGAGAGAGGGGGCACTGGGGGCTAGGGGGTCATCCTGGATCACACAGCAGAGGAAGCGGGGACAGTAGGCAAATGGGACAAGCTGTAACACTCCCTGGTTAGTGGACCCTTTTAACATCTCCCCTTTGAACCTCCTGCAGGAGTTTGCACATCCCAGGGAGCGCTGGGAGCAGCCCTCCTTGCCCTGTGCTCTCTGCTTCCATACATCAGGCAGAGGACGATCTGTCACAGTCTCATTAACCTCCCGCCCCCGGGGTGAGCCAGCCTAGTCCTGGCTTATAACTGTGTACAAGTGCGGGACTCAGATCCAGGGCAAGAGGGGGCTTTACTAAGACACCACAGGGGGAGGAGGAACGTGTGAGTTCTCTGTGAAGGCTCATCTAACAAAGCAGACCCTGTGTGTCCCCTCACCCCTACCCCATAGGTGTGCTCTGTACTGACTTCTGTCCCTCCCTCCCCGGGCCCATCCCCACTGCCAAGCAATCAAGACCCATCTAGAGAATGAGAGCGAGCACATCTCGTCTCACTGACTATTAATTACAATAAATAAGGAGCGGGTGCCCCTCATTTTCCCCGCTCCCTGCTCACCCACCACCTAATTAACAGAGCGTGTGTTCCCAGGACAGTGCTATTTCGGGAGCAGCCAGTCCACGGCCACTGGTGCCGCAGGCCCAGCCCAGGGTGGGGGCAGGAAGCCGTTCCCTTATTGATGGCCTCCACACAGACGCTGGGGCCAGACCGCCTGCCTGGGAAGGAGGCAGCCATTAAAATGAGTGCGGGAGAGAACAGGAGGAATTAGGCTCAAGGACTGCAGGCAAGCCCAGGCTGGCCACCGAGCCCACTAAGCTTGGTATCTAGCTGTCACCATGGCAACAACGTCACAGTGTGGGGTCACCTCACTTTTCCCAGCCAGGAGCAGGCTGAGTGGAAAGGGACTTGCCCAGGCTAACGGGGCCTCTGAGCCTCTGCTTCTACAGAATTCAAAGCATTCCCCAGGAGGTGAGTGTGGGGTCATGGAGGAGAGGAGGACGCGCGCAGGCAGAATATGATGCTTTGGAAACATTTCCACGTGTTTACAAACTCATACTGAATGCTCTTAAGTGCAAGGCACGCAGTAACCATGTTTGGAAATGCTTTGCAAATCAGAACTTTGTAATTGTCATGGTAACTATTAGAGGTGGTGTGGGCACCGTTCTCTTCCTCACTGTGCAGAGTCAGGGGCCAGAGGCTCCAGGCGGTTACGTCGCCAGGTGGGGCCACGCACAGGTAGAGAGAGCAGAACTCACGCCAGCTGTGCTTGCACCAGGTGGGACTAAACACAGGTGGAACGGAATTCATGCCTGCTGTGCTCACACGTTCTTTCCCTCTCTTTCAGGAGGAGCTGAGGGCGCCAATGGGAGAGAGCCAGGATGCCATCTGCGTGGCCATGGAGATTCTGTCCAACTGGGGCAGCGCGGCAGAGGTGGGGCTCACCGAAGTCGAGTTCTTAGGCCTGAACGACGCCAAGCTTTACGTGTCGCCTCATGATGTGGCCCTCCAGAACGTAGGCACACCGGGGGACCTGGGCCTTCTCGTCAACCGGAACCTAGCTGTGAGTGGAGTGGCTGTGGGTCAGTTCTTTCAGGTGCTCTGAAGTGTTTGCGCCGCGCAATTGGTCCGTGATGACAGTGGTTGTGCAGGACAGGGTATGGATAACATGACCGCCCCATCATTCATCTGGACCTGAGAGAAAGTGCCATTAAAGGCCTGCCTCTCCGCATTCTCCCCACATCCCTCCCCTGTGACTTTAAGAGAACAGAGGATGTGAGAAGGAACCAAGTCACCCCCTCTTAGCCACAGTCACCTTCATTCGTGTGGTCTCAGGGGTCACTAAGTGCAGCCCCCTTGGCTTTTATAGATAGACTTGATCACAGAGCCAGAAAGCAGTGGGCCCAGGCTACACCCCATGCTGACCCAGACCCCATGCTCTGTCAGGGTCTCACTGTGCTGGGAATGAAGCACTTGGTACGGAGTTAGCACCCCCAAAACTTTGGAAAGTTCTTTTCCTTAAATATCCATCAGAGTTTTCTAGAAGACACTGATACCTTCCCTTTTGGGCATGGGAGATTGTGAGTAAAGCTGAAGCCGACTGGCCAGTGGTGTCTCTTGGCTTTGCTATGATGAACGTACTTCACGGAGCATCATTCACAGAAACTGGCAAGAGAGGTTGTGTCCACACACAGGGGTCTCAGTTATAGGATGGCTTTCCAGGCTCCTCTGCACCTTTTCAGTTCCATGCCATGTGCTGTCTGTCATGTGCTATCTATTCCCCAAAACAAGGGCTTAGCGGTAAGGGTGTTGCTGTGCCAACCCAAAAGGCACACAGTTCAAATCCACCATCTGCTTCGTGGGAAAGAGATGGGCAGTCTCCTCCCATGAGACTTATTGCCTCTGAAAATTCACTAGACTATCAGCCAGGAGTTGATTCACCTGAATAGTACGCAACAACAAATCCCCTCAAACAAGTTCCTAGTCTTTTAAAAAGTATCGCAGATGAACAGAGCTGCCCTGTATTTAGTTCTTGCCTTGTGCTAGGCACCACGCTCCATACATTTCTTATTTATTGCTAACAGTTCATGGAAAGACCTAAGTTCAGTACTCACCACTTAAAGTCCTGTGACCTTGAGCAGTTCACCAGATCCCTACTTCACTTTCCTCATCTGTAAAATGAGGCCAGCAGTGTTCCCTTAAACATCTGTAAAACAGGCTGTTGTGAGCATTAAGTATAAATATAACGGGCTTAGCACAATGCCTGGATCTTCCTAAAAGCTTGAGAACAGGAGCTTCCGTGGTTACCATTACTATTCTTTTCATAGTATTAATACCACTAAGTTGTTGTTGTTATGGGCTGTTGAGTCGACCATGACTCATTGTAACTCTGTGCACAAGCGCTCTAAGCCCTGCTCTAACCTGGGCCAATCTCACTATCTCTGACACACCTTGTCCTCCGATTGCAAATGTCAGATAGATCTTGGCCGAAAGCAGAGAGCACCAGAGAAATGTCTACCTGCGTTTCATTGACTGTGCAAAGGCATTTCACTATGTAGATCACAACAAATTGTGACTGTGAGAAAAAATAGGAATCCCAGAACACCTGCTTGTGCTCCTGTGAAACTTCGATCAGGCAGCAATTGTCAGAACAGAGCAAGGAAACACTACATGGTTCAAAATCAGAAAGAAGTGCATCGGAGAGGCGTCCCCATCTCTATACCTTTTTAATCTATCTGTGGAACAGATCATTCAGCAGGCCGGACTTTATGAGGAGAAATGTGGCATCAGGATCGGAGGAAAACTCATCAAGAACCTATGTTATGGAGAAAACACAGCCTTGCTTGCTGAAACTGAGTAGGACCTGAAGCAATTACTGCAGAGGGTCAAGGAGTATAGTCTTTAATATAGATTGAAGCTCAATATCGAGAAAATGAAGATTTTCACCACTGGACCAATTGGCAGCATAATGATAGATGGAGAAGAGATTGAGGTTGTTGACAATTCCAGCTTGCTTGCTTCCACAATCAACATTCTTGGCACCAGCAGTCAGGAAATCAAAAGACAAATTGCATTAGGAAAATCCGCTGTCGGGGACCTCTCCAGAATGCTTAAAAGCAACGATGTCAGTCTAGAGACTAATAAGTACCTGATCCAGGCTATGGTCTTGACAATTACCTGTTACCTATACCACTAAGTAGACTTAGTGGTCTGTTTTACAGAAGAGAAAATAAGAAAGGGGAGCTTTGATATCTCCAGTTTGAGGGACCCAGATGTGGCCTTGACAGCTTAGCCTGTTTGCTCTGAGGTACAGTTCTCCTGCCTCTCTAAAACTGGGGAGAAGGGTATGATGGCTGTCAGAGTGCCAGCAGCGGAAACTGAGTCGGACTCACTTTGACAGCTTTTTGAAAAGGAAATATGTTGCAAGTCTTTGAAGAACCAGGGACACTCATTGAACCAGCTGGTCCTGCCCGGTGCATCCTGCACTGCATTCTAGCCGGCTTCCTCCCAGGAAGGAGCCTGCACTGACTTTTCTTGTTGAACCAGGGGACTATCTATTGATTGTTAATTGGTCTGTCCTCCTGTCACTCTGCTTGAGATCTGCAGTCCCAGGAGGAGAAGCTGATAGGCCAACCTTGGGTCAAGGGCCCACCCTTTGGCTGGGAGAACAGACCATCTCCCATGTCAGTTCCACTAAGACTCCCCGATGGAGCAGAAAGGAACTCCCCCTCCCTGACTTGAAGAAGTTCTGGGTGCTACAAACAACACAGGCACTGTGCAGTCAAGGACTGTACTGTCCCCAGGGCTGAGCTGGATCGTATCTGAGAGCCCGTCTGGACCCCACACCGTGTAAACAGCAGCACTGTTCGTCGTGCCGCCGGGCGTCCACCTCGCAGGCCCTGGTCAGCCTCTGAGTCTGTCCTTTGCGATGGCTCAGACCAGCCCTCGGCCTCCAGCCCCCGGTGCAGGAAGCCGTGCACCTTGGAGGGCTGCCCTGCAGAACGGAACATTCAGGGGTGATAAAAAGCCTCATTGGCTTTGATGGGGACCAATTTCAGTGATGACTCTCCCTTTGCCGCAGAAGCTGATGTGTTTCCCCACGCGGGAGCCGTGAGGACTCCTGCCCACGGTTTTGGTGGGTTTATGGACTTTGGTCCTGAGGTTGGTACGTATGGCAGCTGTCCCAGCGCGGGCTTCGGGATCTCTCTGTCCATTTGTGAGTGGGCTCGTTTCCATCTGCTGCCCTGGTTATGGGGGCGCTGTTAGGACCATCTGCCTCTCAGAAAGCGTGGACCTTTGTTGAAGCCCCAAATCACCTCCTACAACATCCCCTATAATCCTCATGAGGACCAGAGGACCAGTGGAACCTGTGACTGGCATCTTGGGAGCTCTGGTAGCCTAATGTTAAGGAGCTGCATTGCAATCCCAAAGGCAAGCAGTTGGAATCCACCAGCTTCTCTGTGGGAGAAGGATGGGCGGTCTCCTCCCATGCCGTTTACTGCCTCTGAAAACCTTGGAGGGTCAGCTGTGGGTCGGTTCTAACTCAACAGTATACAGCAACAACAACGTGCATGCAGCTATGGTGAAAGCTGGCCTTAAGGTGCCTGAAAGAAGAATCTGGTTCAGGAGAGAAATTAGTTCAGTGGAGACGTGTTGGGGGTGGCGTACAAGAATGTGTAGGAGCCCTTGGGACTCAGAGCCATGGCTCCTCCCGTCACTGCTACACCGTCTCTCTCAGTCCCTCATCCAGACCTAGTGCTTGAAGGCGTCACACCCCCAGCCCTGCCCACCACTCTTGTGCTGAGTTTCAGATTCCTACCTGACAGCTCTTTTGGGGATGTCTCAGACCTAGGAGATCCAAACCTGTTTCGATTCTCCTTGTCCACACCTACATGTCCTCCTCCCTGGCTGTTCCTTCCTTCTCATGGAAATGCAGCGCATCAAAACCTTACAGAGATGCTGCTTCTCACCCGTGAGGAGTGGCTTCAAAAAATGAGAAAGGAGTAGGGGAATAACAAGCGTGGATGAGGATGCGACAACATTCGACCTCTTGTATGTGGCAGCGTGAAACGGTGCCACCACCGTGGAAGACTGTAGGGAAGTTCCTCAAAAAGTTAAACATACATTTACCTATGACCCAGCAATTCTACTCGCTGGTTTCTGAGCAAAGGAATGGAAGCATATAGCCACCCAAAACCTTGCACACCGTGCACTGTTCATCGTAACTAAATAGTAGAAGCCTTGCCAGATATTCAGGATTCATTGTCTGATGAATGGCTGGATGATACCTTCAGACGGAGTATTATTTGACGACGGAAGGAAGGAGGTACTGATGCGTATTAACACGGATGAACCTTGCAGTTAAGCTGAGTGAAACCAGGCAGAAACAATAGGTCACATGGCTTTTGATTCCATTTCTGCAAAACACCCAGCATAGGCATATCCATAAACGCAGAAAATCAGTTGGTTCTTGCCAGGGCCTGGGGCAAGTGAACAGGGAGTCGAAGGGTAAGCAGGAACATTTTCTATGGTGCGATTCTGTCTCAATTTAAAAAGGTAGAGTGCTCCCCCCGAGGCCTCCTCCCGGGGGCGGGGGGTGACGTTCTCTGCACCTGCAGTGCTGTCTCCCAGCCAGGCAATCGGCACTGGTGTGACGAACGGACCGCCTTCACCTCTGCGTGCGCCCACATGGGTATGTGCCTGAGCTGTATAGTTCTTTGCAATTTTACCACATGTCAATCCTTGAACTACCATCAAGAGATGGGATTGAAAAAAAAAATAAAAAAGAGATGGGATCGGTCCAGTGGCACAAAGGCCCTCCCTTCCTGCCACATCTCTGTAGCCATGTCCATTCCACCCTTGCGTCACCAGAGGAGCAGTCTCTTCTACAGCTAGATTGTTTTCATTGTGAAGATGTTGCCTAAAGGGTGCCACACAATATATAACATTCTGAGTCTTGACTTTTGCATTCAGCATGTTGTTACTGGTGTGTGCCACCAAGTCAGAACCAACTCATAGCTGTCTGACCCTCCCGTGGGGTTTTCAGAGGCCGTTTAGTTGCACGGGAGGATCCTTCTCCCATGGAAGATATTGCCCATCCTTCTCCCGTGGCGCAGCGAGCGAATTAGAACCGCATGCCTTTTGGGATTGCAGCGCAGCTTCTTACCACTAGGCCACCGGAGCTCCCTGAACTCAAACAGCAAAATACCCTTGAAATCCATCCAAGTTGGTGCAGGTATCTGTGGTCTTTTCCCTTTTTCTGCAGTCACTTGTTTACAGAATGAAATTGGAGTGACTTCCGAGGGCCCTTGGGCACCCTCCTTATGGGTGGCGGGATCTGTGTTAGATTGTGTTGGAATAGAACAGCAGCATGCTTGGTTTAAGTGTTGGAAGGTTGCTGCCTTAGGGAGGCTGCCCCTGGCCATCATTCTAAAAAGGTCTTTTCTTTTTCATTAGCCAGGAGTGATTCTCTTACTGTCTTCATAGAATTTACCCCAGCCTGGTAGATTTGTAGGGAGCTTTGCTGGCCTAGTTAGGAGTAAGGGTAAGGAGTTACACTGTCAACTCAAAGGTTAGTGGTTCAAATCCACTAGCTACCCCGAGGGAGAAAGATAGGCAGTCTTCTCCAGTGTCCTTAACAGCCTCTGAAAACCTGCTGGAGGCCCAGTGAGGCATCTGTTTGGACTGTTCGACAGTAAGTTGAGTCAGTAGATTTGTAGGGGTGAATTGGATGTGTGCCTCCCCTGGTAAGCAGAGCTGGAGCCTGCTGGGTCCTTTTCAGCAGCAGACCTCCTGTCCACAGGGGGACTCTGTCAGTTGGTGTTTGTCAGGTAACATGAATGGCAGCAGCGTGGGCCTCCTCGTGGCCCCTTCCACCCGTGGGCACACTGGATACCCTTCTGACGGTCAGCATTGCCATTTCTTCACTGGGAACTTGCTTTCTTTACCTTCCATGCAGCAGGCCCAAACTGGGGGAGGGAGACGGGAGTGAGGTGCCCAGAAGCAGTATCTCATGGATCATGGTGGATTAATGCTCCAACCCCAAGAACCCAATGCCCAGAACCCCACGGCTTGTTCTGCCCTGGCTCCCAGAGTCCCCTGTGTGGTGAAACTCCAGTTCCCCACAGGGATGGCTGGCTCCTTCCCTCCTCTGGCTCACGTCCACCCTGACTGATGCTTCCTGTAGGGTCTAAATAAACCAGGAACACTCCAGTCCTTGCCTTGTTGTCTGCTGTGTGTGTGTGTGTGTGCGCGCGCACGCGTTTGTGTGTGTCCCTATACTAAGACAGGTATATTATTAATGAATCAGAAATCTAGATTCAGATGCTCCATCACCACTTGAGTGTGGAGCAAAGGAGGGCAAATTATAGCCCTTTCTGAGCTGGTTTTCCCTCTGTAACAAGGGTCTTCCAGCAAGACCCCCCTCCTAGGATTTCCAGAGAATGGCATAAATAGCACTGTGAAATGCCCTCACCCCTTGCCTGCTGTCTTCCTTGCCCCCAGTGATGGGTGGGAGTAGCTGCCTGGTCTGCTGGCCTGGCCCCTGGGGCCTTACCCAGCATGCCTCGGGTCAGTGGCTCGTCAGCCCCTCTCAGTAAAGCTGTCAGTTGCTAATGAGGCCCTGAGTTGTCTGCAGGTTAATGTTCTTTGACTTTGAACACCACCATTCCCATCCTCAGCCCTCTGTCCTTGCTCCTGCTGTCAGAAACAGGAAGGAAAATCAATGCCAGCCCCCTCGCCTGCGTCTGGGTCAGGCGTCAGCCTCTTCCCTGTCAGGCAGCCACAGGGACCCACGTCAGGCCTGGCTCAGCTCAGGAACGATCCTTGCCCGCTGGACCCCCAAGATGGGCCTTCCTGACCCCTCACAGCTGCCCGGAGCACTCAGAGTTCTTGCAGAGCCCGAGAAAGTTGCCAAGAAGAAGCCAGAACCCCTTGAACTCATCCCTCCCCCTTAACAAAAGCAGCCTCCTCCCTCCTGAAAGGCTCCATTGTTGCCTGGGAACAAGTCTCCTGTGTCCTGCCCGCAGCTGGGGCCCCCCACTCCCTGGGGGCCAGCAGAGCCTGATTCAGCCCTCCTCTGCCTTCTGTGGCTCTGTCGGGTCACCCCGCTCCTGGTGTCGGGGTCTGTGGAGACATCCTCAAACCCTTTCGAGAAAAGAGACTCCTACTGCCCAGCAGTGTCAGAGACACAGGTGGGGCTTCTGTGGTTGCTCAGAGGTGAAGCAGGGGCCAGGAGGGGGCACAGATGAGGGGGCGAGGTCTAAACCTAGTGAGTGATGGTGCCTGTGATACTGGATCTACCCCTAGTAAAGGGACAGTCACACACACACACACACACACACACTGCCACAGCCACCAGGATTCATGATGAATTCCCTTGAAGATTGTGATCTCCCCCATATTGAAGTGTTGCCAGTGAATTTGTCTTTTTGTAATAGAAAGCCCCTTGTAATTCAAATACCCCAACAGACCAGATCTCGTTAATAGTTCCTTCTCTATAGTGTCCATGAGAGGACAGCTTGTCCTTTGAAACTTTGTTGTTGGTATTGCAGTTAGGTGCTGTCCAATCGAGTGAACCTATACACAATAGATCAGAACTCTGTCCTATCCTATCCTGCCGTCGTCATGATTTCTGACACACTCAGGCCCCTTGCAGCAGACACTGTGTCAATCCATCTGGTTGAGGGTCTTCCTCTCTTTCACCAACCCTTCAGCTCTCCAAGTTTGATGTCCCTCTCTAAGGAATAGCCTCTGCTAACAACATTGAGAATATTGTTACTTTAAAACTCCCTGAAACGTTGGAGAAGTAGATTCCCTTTGTCCATTGACCTATTCAGCGCGCTGAGGATTCTGGGATGAATTCTCCACCTCCAGTTCCCCTGAGCCGTGGGAGAGTGACACAGGGAGGCAAGCAGGTCATGGGGGCGAGCAGTGATACAGAAACAGGTGATGGGGGCGAGCAGTCATATAGAAACAGTCATAGAGGGGCCCTCTCACCATTAGTACATTTCCAGGAGCGAGTGGAGAGAAAGCCTGTGCAGGGCAGCTGGGGGTTTGTCAGGTGGACACATGTTAGATGGGGGTTTGTTGGTGTCTGGAGAGCATGACAGGAGGTGCCTGGAGCTGAGAAGGAACGTCCAACCCCCAGCCTGACTGCCCTGCTCTCAGATCCCGGGGCCTGGAACAGGTCTTGCTCTGCAGGGGTACACACTGGAGTCCCCAGGCTGGAGATGCCAAGGGTCAGCACCGTGACCCCTCCCAACGAAGGCTGGAGCCGCTTACTTCCTTACCTTCCCTGATTTTAAGTTTTAAAAATGCTTCATGGTTTCACAACAGGAAATCTGAGGCTCTGCTGAGGGATAACCACACAGCCCTGTGGTGGCTTCTGTCCGGCCATCATCTCTCCAGTCCCCCATCTCCAGTGTGCCGCTCAGAGCAGACTAAGTTGATGAAAGTAAACCTCGCCACATTTTAAACTCCTTTCTGCATGGCCGTTCAGAGGGCCTCACAAGGCAGCCTCGTGCCAGGCCGAGGATCGAACCTGCAGTCAAGTGCAGTCCGGATGGAATGAGAGCTCGTGGCTGTCCAGCTTCATGCCCTGACCCCTCCCCTGGTTTTCTCACAAGAGTCAGCATCAACTGACTTCAAGACAAGGTAGAAATGGGCTCACGATGTCCCTCTTCTGCTGACATTTCAGAGCAAGAAGGACCTTCCCGTGTGGACGTGCCCCTTCCAGCCACCTCTCCAGCTCGTCTTTCTTCTCCGAAACACACAGCAGCTGCGTGACTTCGGGCTGGCCAAGATCCGGGTCTGGAATTACTGGACAGCTGATGGGGTAAGTAGCGGCCTCTGTGCCTCTCTCGGCACCAGGTTGATGGAAGCCCTTAGCAGTTTGCCTGAAGTTGCCAGATGGATACAGGAGGCCCTGTTGCCCCAGCTCCAGGGTGATCACACTGCACTGTCAGAACTTCCAGGAGCCCAGAGCCCAGAGCCTCTGTCTCCCACAGCTTCAGAAGTGAGGCCTGCCTCCTATTAGGGGACTGGAATACCCCCTGAGAATCATCAGCACATGCCATCTGCAAGTCACTTTCAGCAGGGCCCATGAACGTTTCCTGGGGGCTCAGCTGGGAACCATTTAACCCCTACCTCAACTCTGTGATTGTTCATATCATTAGCCCCATTTTACAGATAAGGAAAAGGGAGGTGCTGGGAGGTTAAGTGACTTACTCTGAGTCACCCAGTTCACAAACTGGGTGGGGATTTGAACCTTGCGGTTAGACTCTAGTCTGGTTCTCTTGGCCAGTGTGTCTTTAACGTGCAGGCACCTTGTGCGTCCTGCTGACGTACAGGTTCCAGTTCAGCCCCGGATGGAGATTCTGCATGTCTCCCCAGCCTCCAGGAGGTGCACAGGGTCCTGGTATGTGACCCTGAGGAGTGGGGCTCGTCACCCACATGCTCTTTGGTCTGAGAATCTATCCTGACTTTAGGACTGCTGCCTGCCCCTGCCGGCTTGGCTGTTTCTCTGTATTCCTTTGCATTTGTTTATTTGTTTTCACTTGTTTGTGCCCTTGGGCCTCATGATGCCCTCTGGGGACACTAGTGTCAAAGACACAGTCCAGCAGTGAGGGGGCTTCTCATTTGAAAACAAACAGACATGTAAATGGAAACATACTACACAGTACAGTGGCAGAGTGAACCCACATGGCCAGGATGTGAACCCACATGGCCAGGGCGTGAACTCACCTGGCCAAGGCATGAACCCACATGGCCAAGGCATGAACCCACATGACCAAGGTGTGTATCCACGTGGCCAGGGTGTGAACCCACGTGGCCAGGATGTGAACCCACATGGCCAGGCGTGAACTCACGTGGCAAAGGTGTGTACCCACGTGGCCAGGGCGTGTACCCACGTGGCCAGGGAGTGAACCCACGTGGCCAGACATGAACTCACATGGCATAGGTGTGTACCCACATGGCCAGGGCATGTACCCACGTGGCCAGGGCATCCTACTGAAGCCCCCTCGGCCCGGGAGGGAGCTAAAGGCAAGAAGAAGGACAGGAAGGAGACTTCAGCCTCTCTTGTTCCTCTTCTGATAGGTAAGCCAAGGACAAAAATCCTCTCCCCTTCAGCTCCCATCTGTTATAAGAGAAGTAATATAATAATGCAAGTGAGAGAGTACAAGAGCCAATCCTCAGCCTGCAACCTTTGGAAGGGCCGGAGGGAGTGTGGGGCCGGGGTGAGGCTGACAAGCCTATGCCCAGGTGTCAGATGCTGGGTGTCATACAGGCATGCCAGCCAGTGCTGCCCGGCCTGCATCTCCCCAAGGAGCTGCCCGTCTGGCTTCTGGCATCAGCTTTGCTGGCTTGTAAATGTCTTGACTGAGACACACACACATCCCCGCCCTAGTCCAGCTCGCAGCCACCCTTCATGGGGTCCCAAGGCTGTGACTGCACAGAGAGACTGCCCGTCTTCCTCCCCCAGCACCTGCTGCCTCATACTCATACACCTTTCTGGTTCTCAGTGCACGACGCTGTGGACTGCGTCACCCGCACTCCTTTCCCACGTTTATGACTCGCTGACATTCTTGTGTAACCACCACGCAGTTCAGACCAGACTCCTTAGAGTTGGAGTTGCTCCAGCAAGTGCTGGAGAAAGAGGTGTGCTTCAGACCGGGAGAGACAGGGCACGTTCTGCTGCGTGCTGGGCTCCACGGGCAGCCAAGGAGCCAGGGCATCCAGGTGGAGTGAACTGCCCGGCAAAGGTGCCGAGGTGCCAAGAAGCTGAGATGTTGAGATGCACAACCTACCCGTTGCACCCCTCACGTCTGCCCTCCAGCGGCCACCAGGGGGCGCTCGTCATTCTTCTCTGGCTTCTAACCCTCAGGGGCTCCTTGACCCAGAGGCTCAAGGTCAAGTTCCCTGAGCAGATCAGGACTCTAGTCCCTCTAGTCCCCCTGACCCAGGTCCTTCCTTCCTCCATGCTCTGTCTGTGTCACTTCCCAACAATACCAGTTGCTCATAGGTCTCTAACACCCTCCATATTCACCTTTGGGATGGTCCCTCCCATCACAACTCAAAATATTTCTCTCTGCGCTCGTATTTCTGGGAAACGTAGACATCCCTCTCCTGAGAAGTCAACCCTTCCCCCTCCTCCTGGCATCATGGTCATCTACATCATTCCTCCCCCATAACGCTGTGGGCGTCTTGAAGGCAGGGCCCAAGCCCTTCCCAGAGCACATACAAGTGAATGGTTGATGAATGGATGGACGGATGAGTCTGTTTCTCCAGTGGGCAGTGGGCAGTGGTATGACTCTCTTGTTGTCCAGATGAGCAGGGAGCGTAGGAGTTTTGGCTTGCATGTTCCAGCCACAGAGTGGATAAAAGGCCAAGCCGGGAGTCAAATCCTGGAACATCAGGGCTGCCTCTTCCCATTACCTGTCCCCTTTCCATTGCTTCTTCATGTTGATGTTTGGTCACCCAGCTGACCAGCTTCCTATCAGAGCTGGTGGAGCGCCTGTCGTCTGGAGCATTGACAGAGCAGACACAGCCCCGCTGCCTGAGAGGAGGAACAGAAAGCTCCCTCAGATTAGCTTTCTGGAGTTTTATAAGAACGTGCTTCAGATTTCAATATGGAAAAACAAAAATTCACGGGGACAAGTGCGGGAGGTGCTGTGGATATGACAGTACCCGGCTGGGCACCAGGGCCCAGGACACCGTTGTAACACGCCCAGGGCATCTTGGACCACATCCTACCATCGCCAAGCCCTACTTGGCACCTCGTTTCCTTCTGGAACGGGTGCCCCATTCTCTAGCTCAGCCCCGTCACTGTACATATACCTGAGGCTGATACAAGTGGATTTTATGTGCTGGATTTCAGAGAAAATAGGATGTGGCCCACCTTTCTTAACCTCTCCTCAGCCTTTTCTGTGTGCACAGAATCAAGAGGGAGGGGTCTCCAGAGACCCTCCAGAGAGAGCTCAGACCTGCTGTTGTGGGTGGGTCGTGGGCCACAGGGATTGGAAACTCCACAGTGTTTCTAGGAAAGAAGAGGAGCCTGTGGTCCCTGACAGGGTGCCGCGTTTGTGACACACACACACACACACACACACACACACACACACACACACACGTCTGCTGCCAGAATTTACCGCCAGGGAAAGTGCAAACAAATGCAGCTGCAGGTTAGTTTTATTTCATATTCTCCAGGGGACGCAATCGCTGTGTGTTTTAGAGGAGATAAAATGAGAGCTTACAGGAAATATAGCCCAGCCTGGGAGACACAGCTTGTTAATACTGTTTTATGTGTGGAATCCAAGGAAGAGAAGTTAAATGTGGGAAACTAGTCCGGCCATAAGGAAAGAAGTGACTGGGGTGTGGGGGGAAGAATCTTTTTTTCTTGGAAAGCCTTACATCCTCAGGTAGCGTTGTGGGCTCTGCGCCCCTCTCTGGGTGACGTGGTGAGTGTGAGCTGGCCCGGAGCAGAGGGACGGACCTGGGAGAGGAAGGGACAGACTTGAGGGGGGAAGGCAGGACGTGGAGGCCGTGACCAGTCCATGTACAGCTGACTCACGGAAGGCAGCACACAGGTGCCTGTATTTGTCATCTCCATTCACTAAGTACTGCGTGTCTCAAGCACGTTTGAGGCCTTCTGAGGGCTGCAGTAAATATTTGATAAATCAATCACCTCACTTAATCCCCCAACATCCCTGCAAATTAGAGTGAGGGATTAGCCCCCCGTCTTGTAACTGAAGAAGCCAGGCCTTAGTGCGTTGAGACGCTCATTGGCACGCAGACAGCATCTTTTTTACCCCCCCTCCCCCAATGCTGATTGGAAGTGGAGACATGGAGTGTCATCTTGAGAAGGATCGGGTTCATCAGGGGGGGAAAAAAAAACACACCAGGACTGAGCTGGGTGTTTGCCTTCAGCTTAGGAGGAGGACGTGATAGTGTGCGTGGGCCGCGTATGTGGTGTTCCCTGATGAAATGCCTAACCTAGATCAAATGATCTGAGTGAGGAGTTGAAAAGATCACTCTGGGAGCCGGGGCAGAATGAATCAAGGAATGGCGAGGGTTGAGGGCGGAGTGGGCACAGAGAAGGCTTGGAGCTTAGTCCAGCTACAGATGATACTGGTCAGGACTGGGGTGGCAGCTCTTATGGGAAGAAGAAACACAACAATACTTGCCATCTTTGTGCTGATTTCTCCCCCTGGACGTTTTTGAACAAATGCAAAAAGTAGAGAGAAATTGATTAGTTCACTCACGATTTCCACTCCTGTCATCCGACTCAGGTGGTTAATGACATTCTGCCCCTCTTGTTTCGTCTGTCTCTGAAGCATTTGAAAGTAATTATAGATATTGTGCCATTTCACTCATAAGTACTTCAATATGAAACTCTAAAAGATAGGTCTGGGTTTTTAAAAACATAACCCAGGGTCACTACCGTGCTTGAGAGTAATTATTATCCTCCAGTGCTGTGGTGTTTTAAATGACTTGCTATGCATCTGAAGGTTGGGCAGTGAATAAGGATGACAGAAGAAGAATCAATGTCTCTGGGTTGCAGTCTTGAGAAGAACACTGAATAGCCAATGGCTGCCAGTAAAACAAACAAATAACGGCTCAGCAAAAGTGCAACCAGGATGCTTCTTAGCGGCAAGAATGGTGAAGCTTTGTCTCACATATTTGGGGCGTGTTGTTACGAGAGGCAAATCCTCGGAAGAAGACGCCGTGCTTAGAAAGATGGAGAGTGGGCAAAAGAGAGGAAGACCCTTGATGTGATGGTTTGACCCAGTGACTCTTAACAAAAGGCTCAAGTGTATCAGAGATGGTGAGGATGAC